CGAACTCCCCCCGCCGAACCGACGTTGCTGTTACTTTGGAGTTGGCTTCTGCTGGAGCACTAGCGGAGAACGGTATTCGAATGTTGCGCTTTCGAACCTCACCTCTGGCAGGGAATGTAATCGCCGTCTTTCTCATCTCTGGCAAGGGCGCTAGGATCGACCCATTGAACGCTACCTGCGAAGTTTAATTTCAGATGCTCGTTCTTTTCGAAGACTCGCAGTTTGGCGCTGCGATCGTCGCCCCTTGGTGGACCGGCCAGGTGCAGCTGACTCCCAACCCGCTAGACGTGTGCGACACAGTCTTCGCCGACGGTTTCGACATGTGCCTTTTGGTCCCTGAGAAAGCGCAGCCGCATCGATGGTCCAAGCTCCTTAGCCCCTACCATGAAATTTCTCTTAGCTTGGAGAGGCTGTCATCTGGTATGAAGCGCGCGGCTCGAGATGGGGAAGCCTGCGATCTTTTTGAATTCGCAGTTTGGTGCGACTCAGTCTCTCTAGCAACCAGGCGCTGGCGGGAGGCGCCGCCTTTGGCCGAGGTCCAGGACGAGCGCGAGATCGCCCTGGAAGGGATGCCGACGAGGTCGGCGCTGAGGATGCCGGAAAGGATGCTGACGAGGTTACCTCACGAGTGATGGGAGGCCCTGCCTCTGGCGGGAGAGAGCGATAGAGGGCCCAGCTGCTCAGTAAGTGAGCGGCGGTCCAGGCCTTTTTCTCTGTGGTCGCGGGTGAGTGACTGATTCAGTCCTTGCTCTTGCTAAGGCGATAGGGTGCCCACCACGCCTTTCCCATTGCGCGCTGGGGCTCAGCTGCTGCTCGCGCTGATGGCTGCTAATTCCTGGCCGAACCTAGGCCTTGCCTCGGCCTCTGGCGTGGCCGAGTCACTGCCTCTGGCGCGCCGCTGCCTCTGGCGCGCCTTCTGAGGCCAAGGCGGCGTCGCGGCAGCTCGCGCCGCGACACTTGCGAGCGGAAAAAGACGTCGTCGTCATCGCCGCCATCGTAGTAGGCGCCATCATGACCACCCACATCATCAGCACAATCAGCGACATCATGACCACCGACACCATGACCATCGTCATCATGCCCCCTGACATCATGACCGCCGACATCATGACCATCGTCATCATGACCACTGACATCATCTCAATCGTCAGCTTCGCTCCCGCCGCCCTCATCGACCACCGACCATGGTCGTGTTCGTCGTGCTGTAGTAGGCGCCATCACCACCACCGACCTTGGTCGTGCTTAGTTTTCTCTTGGGTCGTGTTTAGTACGGCGCCAATGCTCTACCCTGGCCTGCCGAAGGCATGATGACGAAAATGAGGATGATGACGATGATGGCGATGATGGTCGTGATGATGGCGATGGCGATGCTGACGGTGACATACATATAAGACCCTAGGAAATGACGATGATGGCGAGGACGACGCTGGCGATGCTGCCGAGGAAAACTAGACGAGACCCTAGGACAACTAAACAGGACCCTAGCAAAACTCAACAATACCCTAAAACAATTAGACAAGACCCTAGGAAAACAAAACGATCGCGCGTTACTGCTGCAAGCAATGGAGGGCAATCAGCCCTTCAAGTGCGAAGTAAAAAAGTACATGCCCAACCGAGGCAAGCAACACACATCGCTAACATTGGGCCCCTTAATCAGGGCCAGTGGATGCCAATGGGGGCGGCTACTCGGACTCAGACAAGTAGTTTTCCTTGCCCAGGCACGGGCATGCACGCTTACAGCGCGGCTATCCTCGCCAGGCCACGGGCGCGGAGACTCATGGCTCCGCAACTGCCGTGGGCGCCCAGACACGGGCATTATTATTGTTTGGTGTGGGGGGGGGGGGGGGTCTGACCGCTTGCTCGCATTCCCTCGCGCGCTGCGCGCTTTGACGCCCGGCCCACTGGCTGGGCGCCCCCCCTCAGGTATCTGCGGGTCGTCATGTGGATATGCCGTAGTCGCGTAGACTCACCCGTGACTGCCCATAATCGCGTGCGGCTGGTCGTGGCAATAAGCCATGGCCGGGCCAAGGCTTTGCGCTGCCCATTCCGTGATTTGATACGTTATGTTGCTAGGGATGTTGAAAACAATATCCCGATCCTCCTTCTTTATTTGACTTAGTTACTCAGAACTTGGATCCTGTGTTCGGCCCCTCCCCCCCCCGACTTTAGACGAGGTTTAAGGAGAGCCTGTATAGCGAACGCCCTATCCGCCGACGCTGTCTTAGCTCGTGGCAGCGCTGTCGTATATGCAAGTTGCACGATTGTGTGCGAGTCTGTTCGCGGCTCATAGCAACGGACAAAGGCCGCGTCACTCTACGGTCCAATTCCCGATCCCATGTTTTTTTTCTTTCGGATTTCTCGCCTTGATTGCCATCGAGGGATGAGTTGTGGGATGCCCCGATGCGTTGCCGACGTTATCCTAAGAGTAGGGTTGCCAGCTTATTCCTTCATGGTCAAGCCCGGCGCCCTGCACCCTTACTTTTCACTTGGTGCTCCTTCGCAAGCTTCGAGGGGCTGTGTTGGAACAAGATTTGCGTTCGCTGCCCTGGCTCACGGGCTGTGGGTCATACGAAAACAGGCACATAGACTGCTGTCATGCCTTTGCCCAGGGCCTCCTCCTCCTCCGCGTCCTTGCTCTTCCTCTTTCTCAGCGCATTATGAGTGCCGCTCCCTTTTGTCCCTCGGTTCTGTCCGTTGAATGTTCAGCCCTCTGCGCGCGCAGTTTTTCTACACAGGATTGGCCATATTGACTTGTTTCTCTTACCGTCTAACCGTTGCCGGTGTTTCGAAATCGTGTCGTTGCTGCTGCGCGGGCCTCATTTTCCGATCGGCGGTTTGCCCCCGTCGTTCAGAAATTCACGCTCCCCAGCGCGGGCCATGTTTCTGAATACGAGACATTTTTCATCGCTGTCGCCCCTTCATTTTTCATCCTCCGCGTTCCCGTGGTCCTGATCCTCCCGCGCCTTCTACCCCAGCTCCTGTTGCTGCTGCTGTTACTGCTGCTGTCGTTAGTCGTCCTCGTCCTCTTTCCTCATGCTCCTTTTCCTCTGGTTTTCACCCCTGCTCATCCGCCACTTCCTTGTCGAATGTGCGCAACAGTTTTCCCGATCGCACATAGCACGGGTTCCTCTATTGAATTCCAGGTCCGCTATGATACGCGTCGGCGGGTAAACCAACAAAAGCGCAATGGGAAGGGATGTGTTGGAGGGATCGAATGTCCGATATGTCGCGAGCACACCTAATTATTCCCTCCGCCCTCTCCTCTCTTGCTTCCTCGTCGTTTTCATCCCTTCATATTTCATCCTTTTCTGATTCATCATGATTTCCTCGTCACTCATTATTTGTTCGCCCCTCCGCTCCTTTCCTCGTCCATCATCACTTCTTCACCCCCAATATCTTTCCCTCCCTCCCCTACAATTCGTCTCATCCGTAGTCTATCGGGGCAGTCTTGATGTCTTTCGGGGAGTCTGGGGGGCCTTTATGAATGGTTTCCGTCTGTGTCGGAGGGTTCTTGGCTATATTCGTTCTTATGTTACCATGCATCGTAGTCCTAGGACCGTGCATCCGTGGTCGTCAGGCCCACTGCGCTTACGTGTCCCAGGAGAGTTGTCGGGCGGAACCCTTGTGGAAGCCTTGCGGTTAGTACTGGGTTTCTAGCGTGCAGCAGTAAGCACGCAACCTCGCAGCTACCCAATGCGGCTGGGGCCCGCAGGGGGGCTCGCCGCACTCAGGCCTTCTGGAGAGGGAACTTCTGACGATCGCCTTGGAGCATGATTTGCTATGCGGGGGCTGCGAAGGGAGGTTGTGGGGCCATCGAGGAGCTGGCCATGGGAGGACTGGACCCATCGTGCAGGCAATGGTTTGCCGTTTGGGCCCGAATGTGTGGGATCATCTTGGTGGGGCCCTCTCGGGATGGCTGTTGCCTCTCTTGGGTCGCCGTTGGGCTCTCTTTGGGCCTATCGAAGGGTTATCTTGGCGTTTCTCGGGGGGGGTTACAGTCGTTTTGGAGGGTGTTCAAAGCGTTTGGGTGAGCATTGGGGTTGTCTTGAGGCGGTCTTGTTCCGTCTCGATGTTGTCTGCGATCGTCTATGGGGTCAATTGGGTTGTCGTGGATGCCTGTCGGGTTCGCGCGAACGTCTCTGGAATTCATCGTCCATCGTGGAGCCATACTGAGCCGACAGGTGGGGAACGTCAAAATACAGGAAGCTCATCGGATTCTACGATGTTGACCCTTGGGAGTCCTCCGCGGAAACATATTGGCTCGTAGCATATAGCTGCACCGTGGGGTTCCCATGGCGCCAATTGGGGCCTCGCGGGGCAATCCCAGAACAGGTTCTGGCTATCCTACAGTCAAGATTCTAAGATAAAGGGCCACGTTGGGCTCAGGAGGGGCTCTGGCTTTCGGCCCGTTCCTTGGATATGGTTTTGGGGAACCCATTCGATGTAGGTCTTCTGGACAGTTATGGGCAAGGAGGTGCGTCGGTTGAGGCGCTCGTGTCGCCCCCCCCCTCCCCGCTCCCACCCCCTCAAGCGGGATTTTGGACATTTGGGGATAGGGGACTGGCCACGCATCTCACACGCCTTCTCCCCTGGCATGCTGGGTCGGCGTTTTCTGTATGCGGCGAGCGCGGGCACTCGATCTCGGCGTGGCACAGTGTCTGAGGCATTTTCAGCGCTAGCATTGCATTGCCTCGCCTAAGGTGGCCATTCACGGATTGCGAGGAGTGCTTTGCTCATTCGTTTTCGCGCGCATGTGTGCTCAATGTTCTGTAGTTTTTTTGTCCGTGCCTCGATTCTCCCCTTGCATGTACTCCTCAACCAGTTCACTCTGGGCGTCACGCGGTGGTGGGCCCAGCTGCTCAACTTGAACGGCTCTCAGACGCAAGCATGCTCAATAGTTGGACATCGCATGTCGATACCCCCTCCAGCACATATGGGCGTTGATTGGACTGGTAATTTTTCGATGCATCTGTCGCATTGCGCACCGCTTCCCGCTCGAGGTAGTCACCTTCGAGTGTTGCGACGACGATCTGGACTTCAACGGAACTTTGTCACCAACGTGCTTCCGGCCGAGGGAGGAGGACCAGGAGGAAGAGGACCAGGAGAAGGAGGGGGAGGAGGGGTAGGAGAAACAGGAGTAAGAATTCGGGAGACGACGACAGGAGCGAGAAGCGGGGAGGAGGAGGAGGAGGAGGAGCACCAGTTTAAACCCAAGACTCACCAACGATCAACGATATTGCAATATACCCTCCCTCCAAGATCCCTCTGAAAGGCCCCTACAAGGATCCATTTTCACTGAGGGAAGTGCCCCGTTGGAAGACAATGGCTTGAACATCCGGAACCGATGCCAGAACACCATTCCTGGGAGGTCAACGCCGCGAATCACCGTTGTGGTTACGTCTTGGCGATCCTGAATCGTGCCAGAACACCGTTGCTGGGATCTCCACACCGCGAACAAACGTGACTGCTGCGGCCTGACATTCCCACCAGTTCTGGGACGTCAGCCATACTAATGCTTACAACCGCTGCAAACTCTGAAGACGAGTGTGCTTGGCGCTAAGGCGCGAGCCACGTTCTGAAAAGGAACCGCCCTCCATCCATGAAATTCGTGCAATATTTGAAGCCGAATGTACGCGGTGCTAGGGCCAAAGCCACGTTTTGAAAACCACCCGCCGTCCATTAAGACGAACATGCGCGGTGCTGAGACGAGAGCCACAGTTTGTAGGCGGCCCGCCCTCCTTCCGTGAGGCTGTTGCACAATCTAAGCTTCAGGATCACAAATTGTGAAGTGTTCTCAGGCGAAACGCTCGGCCCGACCTTTCGACCGGCTTCGAGGTGCGACGGGGAGTGTTTATTCATAGGCAACAGGAACGGAGGGACTGAGCCTGCGGAAACGGCGGGGATGTGAGCTGGCGGCCAGGTGGGGGTGCAGCATCGCCTCTTCGGGGTGGGCGCTGCTGCCTCCCACGGCTGCGGTGCCCGTTGAGTTGCCTTCCCCACCCGTTCCCCTCGCCCAGTCGTCGACGTTGTCGCCCCAATCCGCCTTCTCCTTGTGTGTCGTGACCTCGGGAGCCCTGGGCATCTTGGTGAGCGCGGGAGGAGGAGCAGGAGGTCCACCCTGACATCCTTGTGCTGCGATGAAATCACGATGGAGGGTGTTTACCAATTTTCGGCTTGACTGGGCCCTCACCGGGCCGCGGCGTCGTCAAAACACGACTCTGTATGAAAAGTTGGTCACATGGAAGTGGTCCAGACTCTTCTGGGGCCATGTCGTGAAACGTTCGCTACGGAGGATGTCTCGGCAGGAGGGAGCAGGAATCAGCACGGAGAAAGGAGGGATGAGAAGTGGAGGGGCGGGGGTTTGGGGAGGAGGGCGTACCCCGTGGTGTCCCGTGTTGTCCCGTGTTGTCCCGTGGAGTGAGATCGATAGTGAGATATGTACTGAGATCGGTACTGAGATCGGTACTGAGATCGGTAGTGAGATCGATCGTGAGATCGATGTGGTGAGCATTGAGGATGGACAGTCAGGAGGGGGAGGAGGAGGCAGGAGGGGGGAGGTGCTCGACGAGGGCGGACCGCCTCGGCGCCTCGTGGGGGTGCAGTGCGCTCACGGCGCTGGAAAGGAGTGGCAGAGCGGGCCCACGGGGAGCCCTGGCTTTCGGGCCGTTCCTCGTCGGCCGCTTCCGGGTCGGGGACAAAGACTGCGAGCCGGTCGCTGAAAGCAGGTGTTCTTGGATGCCCAGATCCCAGTCTGCTTCTGGCGCCCTCCTGCGTCAGGAATCGGCATGCCTTTCTGCTGTGCTTTGCTACTCTCTGGGAGGACCTGGGCCCAGTCCACTACATCCGCCTGCCTGCTTCGTGTTTCCACCTCCCTCTTCCGACCGACGTGTGTTCTATTCGTGGCCGAGGCTCGCCGTGGCCGGAGAAGCCCCTCCGTTCCTCATTCGGCGTTCCTCACGGGTACGCCGAATGAGGAGGAGGGGGAGGAGGAGGAGGAGGGGGAGGAGGAGGAGGTGGAGGAGGAGGTTTTCTTCCGTGTCTGTCTTTGCCGAGAGTGGGTCGGGCCGGTGCCGGCTCGCGGCGGTCCAGACATCCGAGTCGGAATGTCCGAGACGTTCTTGGGATCGGTCGACGTCGTGCACGCGCCCAAATCAGAGGCATGTCCTAGTCGGCCCAGATTGGTAGGTCGACCCTGCCAAATCAAGGGTGCCCTTGTGTCTTGTGTCTCGCGACCAATGCTTCCCACATTCCTGTGGCAATGTGGCCCTCGGAAGGGTCTTGAGTCTTGTGTTCTCTCGCGTGTCCTGTCCAATCGAGTCCGACTGTATTCCTCCTGCTCCGCTCCTCACTTCCTCTGTTCTCGGCACGACGCAGGCGCGGCATGGCAAACATCGTTGTGGCGAATTCCATCAACGAGGGGATCGAGATGAGCAACAACGAATGGCAAATGTACGAGGACTGCCAGGGGGAAGGAGGCAGAGCGGGGAGACGGAGACGTGGAGGAGGGACACATGTAAGTTGAAGAGGAGGAGGTAAGGGGGCATGAAGAGGAGTTATTGCTGCTGCTACCTGCATCGATGTCCATCTCAGTCAGCACAGCTACTCGCGGGAACCGCAGACTCTCCATTTGCAACTTACTCCTGGGGGCCTAAAACTTGTCTGGGAACGCACGGTCCAGAATCAGGAGGAGAAGGGGGAAAGAGGAGGAGGAGGAGGCTCGAGGAGGAGGAATCTGATAAGCGAGGCGATGATGAGGATGATCAGCAGGAGCAGGATTACGTTGAGCAGGATGAGTAGGTGGACGAGGAGTGTAGATGGAGGCGGGTTGCGATGACGATGACGACGACTTTTGATGGTTGGAACTAATAATGAGCGTGGTGGTGGCAATGATGATGATGAGGATGAGGATGAGGATGAAGATGAGGATGAGGATGTAGAGGAGAAGCGGAAATGAAACGAGGACGGAAGAGGACGAGGATGAGGATGAGGATGAGGACGAGGGGAATTGGAAGGAGGACGGCGAGCGTGGATGAGGGATAATGGAGGAGGCAGAAGACAGGAGAAGCGAGGGCAGATATCAGAGAGCCAGGATCTGAGACGACGAGAGGCAGGAGGACGACGGCGGCGACGACAAGGACGAGGCGAGGGATATTTCTTCCATGTCACCTGTAGTTTCCTCCCCCTGCCCCTCTCCTCCTCGTCTTCCCTATCCTTCTCTTCCTCCTCCTCCGCCGTAGCCATTTTGGCTCACGCCGCTCTGGCTCGTTTTTTGCCGAGCTTGGTGGTGCAAACTTCAGAATGGCACACTGCATCACCGAGCCATACTGGCTCGTACGCTTGTTCTTGACACGTTCAGATGGTTCGTAACGGACCCTGGTTGCAGCAAGCTTGGTCTCGGCCGTGGCTATGGCGGCAATGGTGAAAGCGAACGCTGGCCCGACTGAACACATTCATTCTCGCGCATCGAAGGCTCATTCGCGCATTCAACAGTTGGAACGCAAGTTTGCGCAGAAGGTGGGCAAGCTTGAGAAGGCCCAGCAGCAGCTGGCATCGCAGCAGCTCATCTCGCAGGAGACCACGTCGAACCTCAACGAGGCAAACGAATTCTACAAGCAGATTGTGGCGGAACTTGCTGGCGGCATGTTGCCCCGCCTGTGCCAGGCGCCCCTCCTGCTGTGCCTTCGAAGCTGCTCAACATCGAGGACGTCGTTTCTGGCCAGGCGAAGGAGCTGGACTCCATTGACACTTCTTCTCTCTTCACGATCGACACGGACACAGGTGTACGAATGCACCCCAAAGGACACACGGGAGCTCAATGAACGGCGTGAGAAGCTCAACGCCCAGCTCCAGGAGGTCGCGTCCACGCTGCTCTCTGGGGCCATCGGTGAGGCTCAGGAGCTCAAGCAGGCACATGCGGACCACCTCCGGCGCCTGGGTCAGAAGCGCCGCCGTGGCGACCGCGGGCCGGTCGGGCCGGCGGCGCCGAGGCTGGCGAACGCAGCGGCTCCGGCAGGGGCGGCGCAGCCGCCGGCGCGGAAGGGGGTCGCCGCCCCAGCCGCGGCCCAGACCCAACAGGCCCAGCACAGCAGGTCCAGAGGCAGCGGTTGGCGCGGCGGTGGCGCCTGCCGCTCCTGGTCAGTCTCTTCCCGGTGGAGGCCCCATCCCTGGTCGGCGACGCGGATGACGAGGCCCTCGGTGGTGACGACGTCCGCTCTCGAGCCGAGAGAACCCTTGCTGCCTCCGCCAGGAAGTTGTCTGGCAAGTAAAGCCCTCCTGTCGGCGACGCACGCTGTCGACGGCCTCGTCGAGAGGGGGGACATTCATCATGAAGTGCGTAGAGTTTCTCAGCGTGCTCACGGGGGCGTTCGAGGTTCTGAGTAGGCCGCCCGCTTGAGTGCGGCGCTGGATCAAGTCACGTTCGCCTTCTTCCTTTATGTTAAGAAGAAGGGAGCGTGACCGTGACCGTGACCGTGACCGTGACCGCGACCGCGACCGCGACCGCGACCGCGACCGCGACCGCGACCGCGACCGCGACCGCGACCGTCCTGCAGCGCAGGCTGGCGTGCGCGGGAGGAAGAAGAAGGGAACGTGACCGTGACCGTGACCGTGACCGTGACCGTGACCGTGACCGTGACCGTGACCGTGGCCGTGACCGCGACCGCGACCGTGACCGTGACCGTGACGGAGACCGCGACCGTGACCGTGACCGCGACCGTGACCGTGACCGCGACCGTGACCGTGACCGTGACCGTGACCGTTGCCGTGACCGTGACCGCGACCGTGACCGTGACCGTGACCGTGACGGAGACCGCGACCGTGACCGCGACCGTGACCGGTACCGTGATCTTGACCGTGACCGTGGCCGGGCCCAGAACCGCTCCGGGGTCGGTGTTGTGCGAACAAAAAGAAGGCGACCGTGACCGCGACCGTGACCGGAACCGAGACCCAAACGGGTCATGTCGTGCGGGCAGACCCTGACGGGTCGGGTCGGGCGGGCAGGACGTGAAAGTACGGTGCGCGATCGAGGAGGCACGCGAGAACCCGAACGAGTCGGGACGGGTCGGGCAGACCCGAAGGGGGCGGGGCGGGGCAGACGGGGCAACCCGGACGGTTCGGGCCGGGCCGGGAGGGCGGATCATGAAGTTATGGTGCATGCATGGTCGGGGAGACACGCGGGGACCCAAACGGGCCGGGTCGGGTCGGGCCGGGCGGGCCCCAACTGGTCGGGTCGGGCCAGGCGGACCCTGACGGGTCAAGTCGGGTCGGGCGGGCGGGTCAAAAAAATATGGTGCGTGGTCGGACAGGCGCGCGAGAACCCCAGCGGGCCGGGTCGGGGCGGGCAGACCCCTACAGGTCGGGTCGGGTCGGGCGGGCGGCCCCGAACGGGACTGGACGGGCCGGGCAGCCCCTAACGGGACGGGTCGGGTCGGGCGGGCCCATATAGCATGGCGCATGATCGAGGAGGCACGCGGGATCGCTGATGGGCCGGGTCGGGACGACCGGGCCATAACGGAGCGGGTCGGGTCGGACCGGGCGGACCCCAGCGGTTTGAGTCGGATTCTGACGGGCCCAAACGGGCCAGGCCGGGCGGACCCCAAGGGGTCGGGTCGGGTCGGGCGCGCGGGTCACTAAAGTATGGTGCGTGATCCAGGAGGCACGCGAGAATCCTAACGGGTCCGGTCGGCTGCGCTGGCGGCGCCGGCTGCGGCGGAGACAGCGCTGACGTCGGCGGCGGCGGAAGCTGCGGAAGCAAGCGCGCGCGCGGGCGACGCGCAGGGCCGAGGCGGCAGCGGCGGCGGCCGGCGGCGGTGGCCACCTGCGGCGACGAAGTGCCCGTGAGGGGCCCCAGGCGGCAAGGCCCGATTTTTGACGGCCCCTGGGGCCCTATGTTTTGTCGGCCAGGGCCGGAAAACGGGAAAAAACATGCAATGAAAAACAGTATTCTCACACTCATCCCTCTCGCCCTCCTCCTCGTGAGCGCGGTTTGTCGCGGTCCAGGAGGGCCCCTGGGGCCCTCCGTGGTGCGTCAGGCCCCAGGGCCCGGCCAGGCACCAAAAGCATAAGAAAAAAGTGCTAACAACAAAACAGTATCCTCCTCCTGGCCCTCCTCCTCGCCCGCGCAATTTTTGATGGCCCCGGGGGCATTATGTTTTCCGGCCAGGACCCGAAAACGGAAAAAATAAAACGAGAAGGAGTCTGCTCCTCCTCGCCCCCCTCGCCCTCCTCCGCATCCCGGCGTCGCGTTGCCCCTGCATGCCGAAGGTTTTATCGAGGGCCCCTGGGCCCAGAAACGGACCCCGGGGCACCGAGAACGGCCAGCAGCGGCAGACGAAATGCAGACGCTGATGCTTGGGGGGGCCCTCCCCCCCTTCCCCCCCCCGTTTCCGCCCCCTCTGCCTCTTCCGCCCCTCGCGCACGCACGCGCGCACGCGCTCTTGTGAAACCGTTGGTTTCCGAGTTCCTCGTGTGGGCCGCAGAGGCCTGCAGTGGCCGCAGCGGCCCTGGGCGCTCTATGGCGCCCTGCGCGCGGTCTTAGCTGCCGCCTTGCGCCGGCGCGCCAAAGACTGCATCTTCTTAGTGAAAGTACCGATCCTCACCTGGATCTGGCCGCACCCGGCGATCCGACTCGGGCGCGACACCTGTCCGCCGAAGCAACTCTGCGTCTGCCGGTGCTGGATGCGGCCCTGGAGAAAGATGTCGAAGTGCACGAACTGCGCGCTGGCCTGTGCCAAGAATGCCGCGTGCACCCTCGTCAACCTGAGATGGCGTTGCTGCCGCGCCCCCTTTGGCCCCGCTTTTCCCATCCGGCCCAGACAACCGCGGCCCGCTTGAGCTGGGCGTAGAAGGCCTGGGCCGTCTTGCCGGGCATGGGGCGGACATCGTCTTCAAGCCACAACGCCGTGGTGGGGCGCGGGCGCAGCTTCCGCATGAAACGCAAGACCTTGGGGACCCAGTAGTACAAGAATCCCATCATGACCACCTCTGCGTGCCCGATGGCCCTAGTCCGCCACCGCGCCCTGGGCGCGAATTGCAGGTGCCCCCGGGTCCCGTCGAGCTCTCGATCAATATTCGGCGCACAAAGTCGGCAGGGTGATCGTTGTCGGCCCCCACCGCACCAACATGGAAACAAACACAAAACACAAGGAACAATTAGTCACGGGCCAGGCACGGTGTCGGGAGAGGCCGCAGGCCACAAGATAGTGTCAGTCACCTTGTCCTGGTGGCGGCCGCCGGCCCAGCCGCCCTTGGCCATGTCCAACCCGTAGGCGGAGGATACGTGTTGAACGCCGAACTGCTGCCAAGCCTTCGCTGTGTCGTCCGCGTAGTTGCGCCTGTCGCCGTGCGACATGACTACGGCGAGCGTCCTGGATGCCTGGGCGCAGCTGCACCGGTACCAAGCCATGGCGGCAGCGCGAGCGCAACCGCAAGGGCCTGCAGCCAGGGCCAGACAGGCTG